GCTTTACATCTGAGTTCACAGTGCCACGCTCTAGGGGGTGGGTGAAAGCCCCTCAGCCTTGGGCTTCAGTTTTGCCTCTTGCTCCCAGTCCACTGGAGCTAGAGGCTTTTCTTCACTCAGACAGCATCTGGCTGCTGAGACTGACAAGCCCAAGGTTAACAAGTAAAAAGGCACAGTCCCAATGTTACCAAACCACATGGCAGGCCATTAATTGAAGTCCATTTAAAGTCCCAAAGTCAGCAAAGCATGGCAGGCTGTTGAACAACAACATGGCTACATGCAGGGTTCAAGCATGCCATAAGCTAGAGACCGTTCCCCAAGGCTTCTCCTTAGATACAGAAAGCAGACCACAGCCCTAAGGCAGCTACTCAGCTGCTTACAGTAGATACCACCATGGAGTTGATTGCCAGTCTCATCATGGAGAATACTACATCCAGTTGTCCAGCCACTCAACCAGGCCCAGCCAAGTTGACACACAAACAGAACTACCGCAGATGCCCAACCCTGACTTCATCATACTTAACTGAGAGTAGCCCTTGTCCCCACAGAACACCATCCTTGACCCGTCACTGAGCCCTGATCCGTAGGGAACAGCTTTGCAGATTGTGAAGACTCAGGAAGGAACTAACTGGCCCAGCAGTGGGTAGCTCTACAAACCTACTGCTGAGAGATAAGTAGTATATATGGAGCTTTAGTAAGCTTGTCTATCTTAGCACTTACTTTTACTCTGGAAGCCTCTTTGTATGCCCCTCCCCCCCCCCCCGCTCCAATGTGGGGTGCTAAATCTAAATCATTTCAGTTGTCTGTAATCATCTGCCTAGCCTTCCCATATGCTGTTTTTTATGCCTTGGTGAACCTTGGTATGTTACTAACAGGACTTAATCAATTTAGCTTGTGGTGTAATATTTTGTTTTGCCTTACGAACTAAAGCCCTGACTCATTAGTGCGGCTTCTTTAGCATAAGACCTCCATTATGATATTATTAGTTATCCCATCACTTTTTCTTTAATATTGTGCCTGCTTCCATCCAGTAGAAACTGGAAACAGAATGCTATAATAAAACTTAGCCAAGCTGCTGCAACAGAGGATATGTGAGGGACTGTTGGGTTTCTCACCCACTACCCATAGTAGCTACTGATGTCGGCATAGTCCACATGATTTGGCCTGGAGTGCTTGGGAAAATCCCAACAAATCTGAATTCCTGTAATGGGTGTTGGGAAGATTGTAATATGCATCTTTTATATCAATTTGCTCAGAATGTCTTTTTCTCTAGAGTCAGTAACAAACTCTACTTCTGATATAACTTCTGTGCTGCAAACTGAAATAAGTTCTATCAAGACTGATATGCTTCAGAATTGGGCAGCCCTAGATCTTATATTGGGAGCTCTGGTGACATAGTGCCTAAGGCATTTGACTGCTAACCAGAAGGCTGGAGGTTCAAACCCACCAGACAGTCCTTGAAAGGAAGATTGGGCAATCTACTTTCATAGTGATACCACCTCAGAAAGCCAAGGAGGGGTCGCTATGAGTCGGATCTGACTCAAAGGCAGTAAGTTTAGTTTTGGTTTTGGTAGATCTTATATTAGTAGCTTTTCACAAATCCAGTCCTGCAGACCTAGGCTGCGACAATGGGCTCAAGTGTAGCAGGGATCTTGGAGCTGGCACAGGATCAGGCAGGGTTTTGTTCTGCTGTGCATGGGGTTGCTATGAGTTGGAAATGACTCAAAGGCACCTAACAACACAAAAATATTGGTAGCTCATGGAGGGATATGTGTATACATCAGTGCTACTTCTTGTTCATTTATTAATGCATCAGGACAAATAGAACAGGATCAACAGGCTATCCACTGCACCATTCGTAAATTGCAACAGGACAGGAAGACTATTCAACACCAATTAACCCCCACCTTTGGGGTAGATTTTTCTTGGCTCACTTCTTAGCTACCCAATTTAGGATGGCTGAGATCTTCATTTGTTATAATTCTCCCTATAATAGCATCAGTACTTTTTGATTATTGTTGTATTCAATGTCTACCTAACTGCTTATCTGTCTTCCAACCCCCAAATTAAAGGCTACTCTATGGACACCCCTAATCTCTTCTCCTTGGACTATGGCCAGAAGATTCCTAGAGCTATCTAGACCACAAGAGACTTGTTAGCCAAGAATTTTTGAGTTCCACCAACTTCACCCCTGACCACCAGGAAGTAGTTAGAATGAGTCAACATCCTATTCCCCAAGAATGTGGAACAGTAATCACTCAAAGGAGGACAGAAGCCAAGTTGAATAATAGTCCAATTCCCCATCCTTTCTATAATCATCCCTCAACCTAGTTGGAGACAGATGAGCAAGCATCATAACCTTTTTCCTTAAGAGCTGGGTTAAATGGAAACACAATTCCTCACCCATTCTATAATCATCCCCTACCCTAGTTGGAGACAGATGAATAGGTATGATAATGTGTTTCCTTAAAGTTGTTTTTCAGAAACAACCAATACCAACTTGAAATCAGTTAGAACTAGCTTAGATCAGTTTTGGCCTACGGACATAAACAGTGAATTAAATGAGAACAAACTTGCTCAGGACTAACATCTTCCCCTCTGCCTAAACCCGGATCAGCTGATGACAGGAAGTCGATGTAACTCATCCTGTGCACAAGGGCACTGTATTAAAAATTGACTGTCCCTTTAAACCAGGGCAAACAAAACTTCAGCCAGTCTCCAGCTAGTTCATGCCCAAATTCCCAAAATTTGTATGAATATGTATAGACCCCTTTCCTGAACTTTACAAAAACAGTTTTTGTCACACACTCAGGGAGTCAGATCTGGGTACTGGCCCCTGTCTCCTTACTATGTTTATGGTAATAAATCTTTCTCATCTCTCAAGTAGGCAGGGTGTGTGAACTGATTTGGGTTAATCACAGACCAGGCAGAGACTCACTTTAGTCTTACTTCATAAATAGATAGTAAATATTTTCTACTTTGTGGGCCACATGGTCTCTGTCACATCTTCTCAACTCTGCCATTATAGCATGAAAGCAGACATCAACAATGCAAAATGCTTTTCACAAATCCAGTCCTGCAGACCTAGATTTGGCCCATGGGCTGTAATATGTCAACTTCTGCTCTTATTTCTCACAACAGCACTATTCCCTATTTTCTTACACCCAGCCCACCTCCCTCATTTATATTATCTGCCTCTGTTTTTTGCCTCTGTGGGCATAATATTGGTGTCTGTGGGCATTTCTATAGATAACGCTAGGTGCTTAGAGGTTAGGTCAGTGTTCATGTTCTTTCAATTCATGGAGAAATCCTTGAAGCCAAAGCATAGGAAATGCAGAGATGAGAGATGATATGATAAGTCTAATGGGCCCCCAAAGAAGTCCATGCCTTAATCCATAAACCAAAACCAAACCAAACCCACTGCTATCGATTCAATTCCAACTCATACTGAAACTGTGGGACAGAATGAAACTGCTCCATAGGGTTTCCAAGGCTATAAATCTTGAAAGAAAGCAGACTGCCACATCTTTCTCCTACAGAATGACTGGTGGATTCCAACCATCAGCTTTAACAACTGCACCATCAGGGCTCCTTCCTTCATCCCAAGAACCTGTTAATATGTTAAATTACATGTCATAGGGGGCTTTGTGAATATAATCAGTGTTATGGACCTTAAAATAAGGAGATTATCCTGGATTATCCAGGTAAAAAAGCCTTTGCAGAGAATTACTCTGCCATTTGGCTGCTAACCCAAAGGTCGGCAGTTCAAATCCATCAATGACTCCACAGAAAGACGATGGGGTAATCTACTTCTGTAAAGATTTATTGCTGCAGAAACCCAGTGTGGGTCACTATGAGTCGGAATAGACTTGAAGGCAGCGAGTTTGAGGTATTTTTCTGTTTTATTTTGTTGCTTTTGAGGCAGAAGAGAGATGTGGCAGAAAAGGAATTCAGAGAGATTTTAAACATGAGGATTCCACTCCTTGCTGGCTCTGAGAAAACTGAAGAAAGTCCTCTAGGAGCTAAGGCTAACCCCAGCTGATAATGAATAAGGAAACAGGAACCTCTGTGCTACAACAAAAGGAAGTGGATTCTGTCAACAGTATGAATAAACTTGGAAGCTGAGCTGATTCTTCCCTAGAGTCTCCAGATAAGAGCACAACCAGTCAGCATCTTGATTTCAGCCTTGTAAAATGTGGAGCAGAGAAACCAGCCAAGCCAACTCGGACTACTAGCATATAGAACTATGAAATGATAAATTCTGATAGTTTTCCCTTCTCAGTCTCCAGGTGCTCCTTGTTGTGAACCATCAAGTTGAGTCTAGCAATTCCTACAGGACAGAGTAGAAATACCCTATAGGATTTCTTAAGCAGTAAATCTTTAAGGGAACAAATCATAGGTCTATTCTCTCATAGGGGAGGTTGGGAGGGGAGCTTGAACTGACTACATTTTACTTAGCAGATGAGTGCTTAACCATTGTACCATCAGAGTTCCTTAGGTCTTGCTACATTTCTACCTTTCCAAAACTTGTTTTTTCAGCTCTTTCAATCATGGATTCTATGAGCCAATAAATACCTCTAGTTTCTATCATTTGCATCAAAGAAAATGTGAACCAATACACTCATGTACCAAAATACTTATATCAATAGAGTGGCTGGTGGGTTTGAACTGCCAACCTTCTGGTTAGCAGTCAAACGCCTTAGGCACTATACCACCAGAGCTCCTGTCAATAAACCAAGAATTTAAAATAACATTAATTTCACTTTCAGAAAAGACGTGAAGGATTATCTACTGAACCTCCTCCATTTTCCAGATGACCAGCCCAGTAGCTGAAGAAACTATGAAACACTTTATAAATAATAGGTGTATAGATTATTTTAAGTGTTGTGACTCCCAGCCTAGCATTCTTCAACCAACATCGCGTTATCTCTTGGTAACAAACTTGGGATTAGTGACTAGAACCAAATGCCAGTTGGTTTCAGAGTCCTTACCATTTTTACCAGCATGATTAGAGTTCAGGTTAAATTCGTTGCCAGGAGTGCTGACTGATATTCTAGGGAGCGACGGTTTTATCACCATCCTCTGCTTCTTGGAATTCCTGTCATCATGAGGCTGATCAGACTCAGCAGAGTCAGAGCCCATAACTGGTTTGCTTGCATCTCCCAATTTGTTGCACACCATTTGCTTTTTGATCCTCTCTGTAATAATGAAGAAAAAGATGTTAACACCTGTTGCCATTGTTTCAATGGTTTAGTTTTTTTTTTTTTTCCCTCAACATAATATGAGAAGGAATACTTGAGAAAAGTGTATTTCCAGACAATGAAATACCAATTAAGGGAAGGTGGGAGTGGTCCATACTGGTTGCTGCCCATAAAGGGATACATTGTCTATAGAGAATTTGAAAACTATAGTAAAAGCTGTAAAACTTTGCTTTTCATTTTTACCATGGGCTGGCAATTTCTACAGTCCCCATCTTGGTATACCAGTGTTCTCAGGATTGAGTTCATTGTCTTAATTAACACATAGTATTAGCACTGTTTCACATCTAGTGTAATCTAGTTGAAATTCCAACCAATGGCATGGAAACTTGTTCCACATCTTTATTGTGGTATCCCAAATCTTCAGTAATGATCTTTGTACTCATTCTCAGAGTCAAAATGTGTTCCTCTTCCTATTCACATCTTCTTTCTTCTTTGTCCTCTCTTTTTTCACTACTATCATCTAAATTCTGTCTCTTTAAATTTTGAAAACTTTTGATGGATTATTTTTATGTGTTTACATTGTCATTAATGTTGTTGTTAGGTGTTGTTGAGTTGGCTCTGACTCATAGCAACACTATGTACAACAGAACAAAACACTGCCTGGTCCTGCACCAGGTTCACAATCCTTGCTATACCCAAGCCCATTGTTGCTGCCATTGTGTCAATCTGTCTCAATGAGAGCCTCCCCTATTTTTGCTGACCATCTACTTTACCAAGCATGGTATCTTTCTCCAGGGAATGGTCCCTTCCGACAACATGACCAAAGTAGATGAGATGAAGTCTGGCCATTCTTGATTCCAAGGAGCATTCCAGCTGCACATCTTCCAGGACAAACTTGTTAGTTCTTCTGGCAGTCCATGATACTTTCAGTATTTACATTGCAGTCTTATATTACTGTCTACCTGAGTGGTGTAAATGGTTAAGCACTTGGCTACTAATTGATAGATTGACAGCTCAAACCCCAGAGACACCTCAGAAGAAAGACCTGGTGATTTGCTTCTAAACGGTCACAATCATGAAAATCTTATGAAGCAGTTCTACTCTGCAACTGACTGGTCACCATGAGTCAGAACTGATTCAATGGCAACAGCCCTGCAGTCTTATATTTACCATCTTTTATGTTGCCTGTGTAGGAAAAAAAAAAAAAAATTCCTTGGTCTTTTGCTTCTCTAAAAGAAGAAAAGAAAATGTTTTATGAAAAGGCAGACCAAATAAAGCTTGTCTTTGACCACACATTTTGGAGTGATCATCGTAGCTAAGATACCTTCTGAGATGGATATATCCATTTCTCCTACTTCAGTTGAAGAAATAGGTGGTTTAGTGGCTTTCTTTTTTATCCTTCTTAATTTATTCATCCTGCAGACTTCAGTCTCATTACCTTCATCTCTTGTGGTGTCCTGCAATAATTAACAAACAAAAAGTCAAGCAACCAATCATGCATGCAACTAAATTTGAATGCTAAGAAAGTAAGTTGATTGGATAGCCAACTTTTAAAATGAGCGTACGAGCATCAGAGTCTTCTATAATGAGATACACTTTCTCACTTCCACATTCACTTGAATAACTCAAAATAAAGAAGCTCAACATTCTGCTGACAAGTCACATTTTTGGTGTCTTTGAAATATGCACAGAAAAATTATTAAACAAATTAAGATTTTATCCAACTAACCCAGATGTTTATCTTTATATTCTACTTTGTGATATTTTATATTATTTATCCCTAAGTAATTTTACAAATTCTATTTCATCTAAAAAGTTCTTTTTTATGATTTTTACCTTTTTTTTTTAAGGATCTCTAAACTTTTTCATCAGAGGCATAAGTAACCCAAGAATTGAATTCTCTTCTTCTCCCTTTTTTCTTACCTGCATCCTTATTGCATCAATATTTACTTTGCTTTGTAATAAAAAATGTTATTTTGCAAGTGTACTTTATATATGTTAAACAAATGTCATATTCAAACTATTTTATGGCTTAGGAAAATAAAAACATGCATTGTAAAACAAAAATAACCTAACTTCTACAATCCAGTTATAATCCTTGACAGGGATATACTCTTATCAAAGGATATTCCCTTCAGGGAATTGGGCAATGAGACAGGGGCTGAATAGGGTCACTTTTCTCAGCACTAACAGTTGCAGAATTTCCTCTGCAGTTTTGGGACACAAAGGCTGACATTGGCTTGTTAAGGTCTTTTGCAAACCCCTCATGGTAGTTTGATGGAAGAGGAAAGCAATAGGGTTGGGGCCAAACCTGTATTTCAAAATGTTTTTAAATTTGTTTATCCTAAAGTATTGCTATGTCTTCAGTTTCTGAGAGGCTTTATATCTGAGGGCCAGTTAAATAACTATATGTCCAAAGGGGTCACTGAAGAACAGTTGTATCAACTACCTCTGAAGACTGAAAGGGGAAAAGAGAATTTTTTATTTTTTATATATTTATATGTAATTTTGACCTCTTATTATTATTGTTACTATATTAACAAAGATCTATTTCATAGATCTTTTTTTCCATAGTTTTTTTTTAATTATTATTTCATAGAAAGTCTTTTTTGTAATTGTCGTGGTTTGAATTGTGTCCCCAAAAGTATGTGTCAACTTAGCTGGACTATGATTCTCAGTTGTTTGGCAGTTACATAATGATGAAATTTGGCAGTTATGTAATGATGTGATCATCTCCATAACGTGATCTGATGTGATCAACCAATCAATTGTAAGAGGATTAGGGTGAGATGCACCGCCCTTACTCAGGTCACAGCTCTGATCCAATATAAGGGAGTTTCCCTGGGATGTGGCCTGTGTCACCTTGTATTCTACAAGAGATAAAAAGAAAGAGAAGCAAACATAGAGGGGGAACTCCTATCACCAAGAAAAAAGCCAGGAGTGGAGAGTATGCTTTGGACTCAGGGTCTCTGCACTAAAAAACCCCTAGACCCAGGGAAAGATTGATGACAAAGACCTTCCCCCGGAGTTGGCAGCAAAAGAAGCCTTCCCCTGTAGCTTGTGCCCTATATTCAGACTTCTAGCTTCCTAAACTATGAGAGAATAAATTTCTGTTTGTTAAAGTCATCCACTTGTGGTATTTCTATTATAGCAGCATTAAATAATTAAGAGAGTAACTTTTAATTTTCACTTATTTGAAAATTATTGTCCCCTTCATTTCTGATAATCTTATATTTGGATCATATGGTATATATTGAGTAATATAATACTTTAGCTTTTTCTAGTAGTTAGTAGCAAACAGAGACAATGGTCACGTTTCCACCAATTACTCCATCCACCCAGAGGGGGAGAGTACCCCAGTGCTGCCAAACAAGCAACCAAAGTAGCATGCCTACCCTACTCCCACCTGGATATATCAAAAGAAAGCAAAACAAAAATTCAGGGTGAAACAAACCAACACACAGTCAACAAATAAAAACAACAACCCCAAAATGTCTCAGTGACAACAGACAACTTCAATTCAAACAAAGAAACAGGGCAAGATAGCATAAGCAAGTGACCAAAATTAAGAACTACAAAAACTCCACAAGGAAGACCAAGTAATAGAACTATCTAATAAGGAATTCAACAGCTATAGATAGAGGGATAGATGGATAGATAGATAGATAGATAGATAGATATGACTTTCCAATAGCTCAAGTACAACATAAATAAAAGTAAGGAAAAGACAGACAATACCCAAGAATAATTCAGGAGAAAAAAAAATACAAGAGAAAAATGACAATAAATGGACAATTAGAAATCATACAAAAACAGCAATTGGAGATCCAGAAGATTAACAATAAAATTATGGAGATAGATAACACATTGGTAGGACAAAAGTATAGAACTGAACTGGCTGAAGAATATATTTGCCATCTACAAGACAAATCCCTTGACACCAGCTTGTATGAGGAAAAATCAGAAAAAAGAATTTAAAAAAAAAATTAAGAAAGCCTAAAAATCATTTGGGACAATATCAAGAGAAATAATATGCATATGTTTAAAATAAAAGAACAAGAAGAGGAAAGATTGAAAAGAGAAATAGACAGCTCCAGAACACTAGTAGGAGACTTTAACACACTGATCTATATACTACTCTTGATGAAGGACTGAACAAGTAGAAAGAAAATCAACATAGGTACAGAAGATTTCAATGACACAATCAGCCAACTTGACCTCACAGATGTACACAGAACTCCACCCAACAAAAACACAGTACACGTTCTTTTCCCATGTGTCTGGATCTTTCTCCAGAACAGAGAATATGTTAGGCCACAAAACAAGACTCAGTAAATTTAGAAATATTGAAATACTACTAAACATTTTTCTCAGACCACAATGCTATAGAATTAGAATAAATAGGAAGATCAGGTGAATAAAAATCAAATACATGAAAACTGAATGACACTCTGCTCAAAAACTACTGGTTAACAGTAAGTAAATTGTGAAATAAAAAAATTTCTAGAAGCAAACGAGAAGGAAAACAGCATACGAAAACCTTTGGGACACAGAAAAAGCAGTTCTCAGAGATCAATTTACAGGAATAAATGCACATCAAAAAAAAAAAAGAAATATCAATACCAAAATCAATACCTTAACCCAACAACTCCAACAATGAGAAAAAGAACAAGAAAAGGTTACCATCTCCAGAAGAAAATAATAAGGATTCAAACAGAAATAAATAGAAAACAGAAAAACCATTGAAAGAATTGAAAAGACTAGAATTTGGTTCTTCAAAAAGATTACAAAGTTGACAAACTTAACTAAAGAAAAGAAAAAGAGATGCAAATAACAAGAATAAGAAATGAAATGTGTGATCTCACAATGGCACCAACCAAAATAAAAAGGCTAATACAGAATACTATGAAGAATTGTACTCTAACAAATTTGAAAACCTAGTAGAAATGGAAAAGTTTCTAGAAACACACCATGTACCTAAACAAACAGAGACTGAGGTAGAAAATTTGAACAGGCCCATAAAAAAAGAAGAAATTCCACAGATCATAAGGAAAAAAAAAACTCTCAATTAAAAAAAAAAAGTTCTGGCCTAGGTGGCTTCACTTGAGAATTCTACAAACATTCAGAGATAAGCAGACACCAATCATACTAAAACTATTCCAGATCATAAAGAAGGATGGAATTCTCCCAAATTCATTTTATGAAGCAAATGATGCCAAAGCCAGGCAAAGACACCACTAAAAAGGAAAAGTACAGACAAATATCCCTCATGAATCTAGTAGAAAAAATCTTCAATAAAATCCTAGTCAATAGAATCCAACAATATATCAAAAAATAATAATATAACATGACCAAATGGGAACCATACCAGGTATGCAAGGAGGGCTCAACATTAGAAAAACAATCAATATAATCCATTACATGAATAAAGCAAAGGAAAGAACCACACAATCATATCAATGGATGCAATAAAGACATTTGATAAAATTCAACACCCATTTCTCATAACAAAATTAAAAAAAAAAAACTCTCAATAAAATAGTAATAGAAAACTCCTCAACATAATGAAGGTCGTATATGCAAAATTAATGATCAACATTATTCTTAACAAAGTGAAATTGAAAGCATTCCTCTTGAGAATAGGAACTAGAAAAGGATGACCTCTGTAACTATTTCTACTCAGCATTGAATTGGAAGTCCTAGTCAGGGCAATAAGGCATGAAATGGAAAAGAAAAACATCCAAATTCATGAGGAAGAAGTAAAACTATCTCTACTTATAAAGGATATGTAAATCACTAGCTACATAGGAAATCCCAGAGACTCAACAAGAAAACTCCTAGAAATAACTGAAAGATCAGTAAAGTGGCAAGGTACAAGATCAACATACAAAAATCAGTTGGATTCCACTACATCAACAGAGATCTCTGAAAAGGAAATAAGGAAAAGAATGCCATTTACAATAGCTACCAAAAAAAATAAAATACTTGGAATAAATTTTACCAGAGACACAATGATGTGTACAGAGAAAATTACAAAACACTATATAAATAGAAGAACATATCTGCTCTTGGACAGGAAGACTGAATATTAAAAATGTCAATATTACTCAAAGCAATCTACAGATTCAATGCAATCCCAGACCAGATTCCAACAACATTTTTTAAGGAGATGGAAAATTTTATATGGAAAAGAAAGAGACCATGGATAAGCAAAGTACTACTGAAGACGAACAAAGTAGGAGGTCCCACACTTTCTGATCTCAAAACCTACTATACAATGATTGTAGTCAAAATAGCCTAGTATTGGTACAATGACAGACACATAGATCAGTGCAACAGAATTGAGAACCCAGAAATAGATCTATCCACCTATGGACAGTTGATCTTTGACAAAGGGCCAGAATCCATTAAATGGGGAACAGACAGTCTTTTTAACAAATGGTACTGGTAAAACTAGATATTC